ATCAGTCCTAGCGACTGGTACACCATCCGATCTGCAGCCTATACGACTACGAGACCAGAAGAAATAGATGGTGCTCGGCTACTACTGTCAACTACTTGGAAGAGGATCTTTGTAGGAGATCCTGGATAGACAGGGGGAACAATGTGGAACAAAACTCAAAAGCATTTGAAAAAATATTGGGGAACAGGTTTGCTGGCCCGATGGAGCCTGGTGGAACCACTGAGACTATGACCCCTAGCTGCCCTTCAGGTCTGGAATTGAACACACACCTGTAGCTTCCAGCCAAGCAGTAGTCAGGCATACTAGTTGAGCATTTATCTGAGGTAGATACACTCCTTGGAGAGAACAAGTAAGAGAGAAAGAAGGGCTGCTCAGGCACAGGGAGGCAGCTCAGGGGGTAGGAGTGCATGGAGGGATGGTCACAGGGAAGCGGTACCTATTGGGAGGAAGTGGGAGAGGAGATGTTGCATTGTGCTAAATAGTGGTCAGTGTCATGAGACAAAGTGTATGTGATCTGCTGTACAGAAAGTGTATTTGCTCTGTAAATTTTCACCCAAATCACAATAAAAATAAAAATTTAAAAAAAGAGAAGAAAACTAGGAGAATGTAGAGTCCTAAAAGCCAATGAATAAATATTATCAAGGAAAAAAAAAAAGAAATCAGATGTCATATTGCACTGGACAGATCTGCTGCAAAATACCTCTTTAAAGAAACCAAGATGTCATCTTGAACACTAAGGTGCACCTAACCCAATCCAAGGTATTTTCAATTGCCTCATATGCATATGAAAGCTGGACAATGAGTAAGGAAGACCAAGGAAGAGTTGGTGCCTTTTAATTATGGTATTGGGAAAGAATACTGGAAATATGGACTGCCAGAAGAATGAACAAATCTATCCTGGAAAAGTGCAGCCAGAATGCTTCTTGGAAACAAGAATAGCCAGACTTCATCTCACCTACTTTGGTTATGTTGTCAGAAGGAACCATTCCCTGGAGAAAGATATCATGCTCGGTAAAGAAGAGGGTTAGCATAAAAGGGGAAGGCCCTTAATGAGATGTATAGACACAGTGGCTGCAACGATGGGCTCTATTACAGCAAGGATTGTGAGACTAGTGCATGACCATGCAGTGCTTTCTTCTGTTTTACACAGAGTCACTATGAGTCCAAGTCGACTGGTGGCACCTAACAACAACAACCACCAGTAATGAGAGTCTCTGGTTGATGTAAATATTTAAAGCAATCAGCAGTTAACTGAAAGTTTGAATGTCTACCCAGAGGTGCCTCAAAAGAAAGACCTGGCAATCTACTTCTGAAATATCAGTCACTGAAAATCTTATGGAGTACAGTTCTACTCTGACACACTTGAGGTTGTCTTGAGTCTGAATCAACTTGACAATAACTGGTAATGACTGATGACTTTGAACATCTTTTCATGTGCTTTTTGACTATTTATTTGTATATCTTCTTTGCTGAAATGTCTATTCAAGTTATTTGCCCATTTTTGATTATTTTTTTTGGTTGAATTGTAGAGGTTCTTTAAATATTCTGGACATTAAATGCTTATCAGATATACGGTCCCCCCCCCACAAAAAAAAAGAGGGAAAGCTACAATCAAAGACATTGATACATTAATTCAAATCTCACTGATTTGAAAGAGGGGTGGAGAGGTGTATTTAAGAAATCCAGGAAATGAAAAGACACATTGACTAATTAACTAGACTTCAGAAAAGTACCACATTAGAAACCAAAAGGGTAAAATATACTCAAAGTATTATAATTACCATATAGCAGCCTCATAATGATAGCCACAAAAAAGCAATAATGGCATGGACAAAAATGCTGCTAAATGTTAAAGCTTTAAAGCTGAGTGATGGGCACATGGAGTTCACTATATTATTGGCTCTACTTCATATGCACTATGCCACCAGAGCTCCTTCTACTTTATATAGGTTTGAAAATTTCCATACTATAAATATGTTTAAAGAAAGCAGTGCTAAATAGTAATGATACTGGGTGACTACATATAGGAAAACTTCTAACATCTAAATGAGATGAGCTTTACTAAATTCCTTCATTAGTTTCAGGTAGGGGAAATAAATAGCCAATCATTCTAACTGATATACAAATAATTAGGCTGTATATATGCCAAACCATACTGTATTGTGAAAATGGATTAAAATGTTTGGAAACGATGGTACTTAGAAAAAGCATCCTAACAGTGACAAGCAATAGAGAAAACCATTAAAAGAGTATGTCAGAGAAGAGCAGTGACATATGATCAACATAATCTGTTTTTAGAAAAAGACCATGTCACCAAAAAGACAAAAGCAAAGAACTCCACAAACCCACTCTGCCAGGAGGGCAGTGATCTGGAGTGTGATCCATGCCCTCAGCTATCTGAGACAGCCCACTGAGATTCCCCGACTCCATCAGCCCACCAGAAAGGTCTGTGAAGGAACAGAAGATAATCTCATTCACTACCCTCTCTTCCCAAACCTGAGTTCTGCCCATCATACTCCAGGTGTGAAGGACAGCCTCTGTTTGGACCCTCACCCTGCTTATGAAAGAGATACTTTTTGCAAAAAAGTACTAGTACCAGGGACTGGTACAAAGTACCAGTCATTCACATCTGCAATGGGGTCCTAGAAAGGGTTCAAGAGAGAAGACCTGGGCTTATGGTGCTGCCATTATAGGTCTATGGGACCTGGTGAATCATTTTAACCTCTTTATACTCCTCTGTAGGAGCTCTGATGGCATAGTGCCTGAGGCATTTGACAGCTAACCAGAAGGCTGGTGGTTCAAACCTACCAGCCACTCCTTGGAAGGAAGATTGGGCAATCTACTTCCATAGAGATACTGCCTCGGAAACACAAGGAGGGGTTGTTATGAGTTGAATAGACTCAATGCCATTGAGTTTGGGGTTTGGTTTTATACTCGTCTGTAAAATAGGGAAACATAAAATAGACCCAGGCTGAGGGTCATCATACAAAATGAAAGACTTATAATCTTTGACACTATCAATGACACGAACAAAAGCAAAGGAAACTCATTTGATTCCAACTCATAGCAATGCCCATTGGTTCCCAAGGCTGTAAATCTTTACAGAAGCAGACTGCCTCATCTTTCTTTCACAGACTGGCTGGTGGGTTTGAACCATCAGCCTTTTGGTTAGCAGCCAAATGCCTTAAACACTACACCACTAGAGCTGCTGATCAAGGACATGAGAGACATGTAAAAAGAGAGGAACAAGTAACTGTTACAGACTGAAAGACACAGATGAGAATAACAATTAAAGGTAACACGATTTCTGGAAGGAGTCTTGGACCAGAAAAAAGACACTTACAGGGATAGTAGGAGCTCTGGTAGTGTAGTGCCTAAGGCACTTGACTGCTAACCAGAAGGCTGGCGGTTCAAAACCACCAGCCACTCCTTGGAAGGAAGGTTGGGCAATCTACTTCTGTAGTGATACTGCCTCGGAAACCCAAGGAGGGGTCGCTATGAGTTGGGTCCCACTCCATGGCACATAACAACAGCAACAAATGGGAACAGCTGGCAAAATTTGAATAAGGCCTGTGGATCAGATGGTTACACCATCAATACCAACATGCTCTATCAATGTTGACTTTCTAATTGGTAAGAATGCGTGGTAGCAATTCAGAAGAGCATCTTTGATTTTCAAAAGCACAAAATACTTAGGGACTGTCTTAGGTGCCTAGTGCTGGCTTTAAACCATAGAAATTTATTTTCTCACAGTTCCGGAGACTAAAAGTCCAAATCAGAGCACTGGGTCTAGGGGAGGGTCTTCCTTTTTCTCTGTCAGTTTCTACTACTCACTGCAGTAGACAACTCATAGCGACCCCTCCTTGGGTTTCTGAGGCAGTATCACTGAGGAAGTTGATTGCCCAACCTTCCTTCCAAGGAGTGGCTGGTTAGTTTGAACCACCAGCTTTCTGGTTAGCAGTCAAATGCCTTAGGCACTATGCTACCAGAGCTCCCACTGCCAGCAACTGCTGACCTTCCTGGGCTTGAAGATTCAGTTAATCTGTCTTCACATAACATCTCCTCTGCCTTGGGTGTGTCTCTATGTCTACTCTTCTCTTTTGATAAAAGATCACTTAGTACTGATCAGGTTTAGGACCCACCTTCCCATGGTATGACCTCATTAACATAACAAAAACTTCTATTCCCAAACAGGGTCATATCTACAGATACAAGAGTAAAGACTTAACATAACTTTTTGTAGGGCACAATTTAATCCATAACATGGAAGACAAGGTATCATGTTGGAAAAAGACTACAGAGAGGGAAGATGGGGAAAACCTGGTAAAATGATTTTTCTTTTTTAAGTTACTATAAAGTCAACTCCCATACACATGTAAAACAATAACAAATGGGCAATTCTAGTAAAGGGGATGCAAGAGTTTTTTGCACTGATCTTGCACTTTTTCTGCAGGTCTGAAATTACTTCAAAAGTTTTCTAAAACAATCCTAAATAAAAATATGTAAAAGGGTACAATAAGGTCTTCTCTGCCTAACACATAGGATTGTCCTGATACTCAACTGGTAATAGATATAAAATCACTTTTGAAGCTGTCAAGAAATACAAAAATAAAAGGTATTGTTAGCAGAAATATGACTACATCCAACATCAAGTACCAGTGGGCCTGATTCCTTCTCTAAAGAGGGAGTAAGTTATTTATTTACCTTGGACACTAAGGGGATAGCGGAAAGATTAAAGATCCAAGCCACCACAGAATAAAGCAATTTATTAAAATGTTTTGGTGACCAAAATTAAACAGACCTTCATTTCCTTTACTAAGACAACAAAGCTTACTCTGATAACCTGTCACTGTTTCATTTATTAAGTTATCCTAATTGGGTCATACACAAATACAAAAATATGACAACTACCTATAAAACACAAACACAAATAACTGTCCTATAAAGGTCAGAACACTGATCAATGAAGTTATCAATAAATGTAAACCTTCCACATTTACCTCATTGGCTCTTTTGATTATTTTATCATCCACATCTGTGATTCCCATCACCATGACTATGTTGCATCCAAAAACCTTGGTTAGGATCCTTCGAATTATATCAAATCTAACATATGAGCTGAAAGGGAAAAAAAAAAAAAGTTAAGATGTCTTTAATACAAAAAGACATCTTTAATACAAAAAGACATCTTTATGATCTTAGAAAAAAAAAATACATTACACAACAACAACGATGAATGGGAGTCCTTGAGCAGAGCAAATGGTTATATGCTTGGCTGCTAACTGAAAGGCTGGAGTTCAAGTTCATTAAGAGGCATCTCAGAAGAAAGACCTGGTGAAATCTTCCAAAAAATCAGCCAGTGAAAACCCTATGGAGCACAGTTCTATTCTGACACACATATAGTCATCATGAGCTGGAAGAGACTTGATGGCAACTGGAAAACGACTGATGACACCGAATATCTGTTCAGGTGTTTGTTGGCCATTCATGTTTTTCGTTGCAGAAATGTCTCGTTAGGCCCTTTGCCCTTTTTTTTTTTTTTTTAATTGTGATTTGGGTGAAAATTTAAAAAGCAAATTCACTTTCCATACAGCAGTTCACATACACTTTGTCTCATGACGTTGACCAAAATTCACCACAATGCAACAGCTCCCCTCCCACTTCCTCCTGACAGTCACCTCTTCCCTGTGTCCATCCCTCCATGCACCCCTGCCCCCTGCGCTGTCTCCCTGTGCATAAGCAGCCCTTCTTTCTTCCATGATTGTTCTCTCCAAGGAGTGTATTTACTTGAGGTAAATGTTCAACTCCTATGCCTGTCTTTTGTTTGGCTGGAAGCCACAGGTGTAGGTTCAATTCCAGACCTGAAGGGCAGCTAGGGGCCATAGTCTCAGTGGTTCCACCAGGCTCTATCGGACCAGCAAAGTTGGTTCCCCCCCCCCTTTTTTTTTTTCCAAATGCTTTTGAGCTTTGTTCCACATTATTCTCTCTCTCTATCCAGGGTCTCCTACATAGATCTCCCTCCAAGTGGTTAACATTGGTAGCCGGGCACCATCTAGTTATTCTGGTCTCATAGTTGTATAGGCTGTGGATTGCATGGTGTATCAGTTGCTAGGACTAATTGTTTCCATGAATCTTTGGTTTTCTTCATTCTTCTTTGCTCTGGACGAGGAGAGAACCATTGTTGCATCTATCTAGATGGCTGCTTGCAAACTTTTAAGATCCCAGTTGCTACTCGCCAAAGTAGGAGGTGGAACAATGTTTTGTGTAGTATGTTGTGCCAATTGAACTGGATGTCCCCTGTGACTATCTATAGTCCCAAGCCCACAGGTTCAACTACTCGGTCCCTATGGGTAGCTGGCTGTGACCAAGAAGTGATTACAATCTTGTCCCTTATCAGTTCTACTATACACCTGGGAATTCAGATCATACAAATACACTTACAGGACCATTGTCTACCAACCTTATACATGGTCTTGGGTAACTCCCCACTTCATAGACATACCTAATAGTTCAGCCTGTCTACCCATCTATCCACCCCTATACCCATGTTTGCCTTCACTGACAATGCAGTACTGTATGTGCACAAGGGTTCAGGTTTGTTGATGAACCCATGTACCTCTCTATGTCTTCCTCTTCCTCAATGCCACCATGTTGTTCACTCACATTTGGTACACTGCCCTTCGCTTCACCCAAATCAATACTTATCTCTACCTATCTAACAGTGTTCCCTCCCCTGGTAGCCAACAAAGAAAATTTCCTTCCACAGATAAACCTTTCCTTAACTTTTACAATAACGGACTAATACAATATTAGTACTTATGTGATTGACTTATTTCACTCAGCATAATGTCCTCCAAGTTCATCCATGTTTTGCGGTGTTTTGCAGATTCTAGGTTATTCTTTAGGGTTGCATAGTATTATGCACTCTAAATGTACTCATTTAGGGTTCATTGTGTGTATGTACCAAAATTTGGTTATTCATTCCTCAGTTGATGGACACGTAGGTTGTTTCCATCTTTTGGCTATTGTAAATAGTGCTGCAATGAACATGCCTTTGCCCATTTTTTAATTGAGTTGTTTGCATTTTTGTTGTTGACTTGTATAAGTTTCTTAAAATTCTGGGTATTAAACCTTTATCAGATGTATGGTTGCCAAATATTTTTGCACATTTTGTGGCCTGTCTCTTCATTTTTGTGATAGTCATTTGAAGCACAAGAAAAAAAAATAATACATTATATCTTAAGGTGCTAGTATATAACTAAACCTGCACCATATAATTGATTGTTCAAATCAGCTAGTAAAAGGGAAAGCATTTATACTGACTATTCACCTTTACCATGTTCTGGCCCACACATGTCCTCACAAGAAACTGACAAAGGCACTGCTTCAATTACAGGAATCAATTTTAGGGTTTTTATTTTAGTTTATGTTAAGTGAGTTTGTTACTATTAGCTAGCATTAAGTAGGCCCCCAACTCATGGCTAACCCATGTGTAGTAGAATAAATCACTGGCCAGTCCTGCATCATTCCCACAATCAGTTTGTGGACTGGACAGCTGTGATCCATACAGTTTTCATTGGTTGATTTTTGGAAGGAGATCACCAGGCCTTTCTTCCTAGTCCACTGAAATCTATTCAGTATCGTAGCAACACTTGACAGACGAGTGGTAGTTACTCATGAGGTTCACTGGCCAGGAATTGAAGCTGGGTCTCCCAAATGAAAGGCAAGAATTTTACTACTGAACTACCATTGCCCCTTGAGTGAGTTTACTGTACAAAATTGTGCTCATAACACAATCTCATTAGGTAATTAAAATACTCAGACCTTTCACCATCCTTGTTCATATTCTAGAATAATTCTAATTTTTCATTATGACAAAACAGAAGCAAATAATAACTCAAGACAAGTACAATACTATTAAAGCTGTATAATACTATTCTTAAGAAATGTGTACACTTTTGTAGAATATTAAAATACCAGCTCATTTATATACTACATTGGGTTAACTCAGACTTTAAAAGCCAAAGGGGAACACTGAAAATCCATTAAAAATCTCAAGAACCTAGTTTCCCATAAAAACAACCTTATAACTCATGATCAGAGAATTTCATGCTCATCTCTATCATCTATGCAACTAAAACACCCTGACAAGATATTAAACCTCTTGAAAAGTCAGTTTGAAACATCAGTTTTGCCTATAAATTGGATGAAATTCTACTTAACCCTGAGATTGCTGTGCAAGTTAGATATAATAATCTTAGCTCATGATTTATATCGTGGTGAGTCTCCTCATCTGTCATGCAGGAGACTGGGGTTCAGTTCCACAACAGAGAGTCACCATCACCCGTCAGCTTGTCATACTGTGGCTGGTGGCTTCTGTGCTGCTTTGATGCTAGAAGCTATGCCACCACCACCATATCAAATACTAGCAGGGTTGCCTAGGATAGAAAGGTTTCATTGGAACTCCCAGACTAAGACAGACAAAGAAGAAAGGTCTGGTGGTCTATTTCTGAAAAGTAGCCAATGAAAACCACATAAATTACACAGTATTGTCCTAGACTTCAACTCACTTACTTTGGACACATCATTAGGAGGTATATTGATCACTGGAGAAGAATATCATGTTTGGTAAAATGGAGGGCCAGAGGAGGTGAGGGAAACCCTCAGTAAAATGGGTTGACACAACGGCTTTAACAATGGACTTAAACATACCAATGACCATGAAGATATAGCAACAGGCGACATTTCATTCCATTATACATGGGGGTCACCAAGAGTCAAAGACTAACAACTAACAACATCAATATGGTGCCCCGAAGAAGTAACTGCCACAAACAGAAGCTATTATTACCATTACCATCATTATGACCTTAACTAGTATTAAACTGGAAAACTTTACAATAAATGATATTTAAAAGGTTAATGACAACTCAAATAAAAGTAAAATCACATACTTGGCCAAGAAGAACTCACACTGAAGTCACAGAGCTGCCATTAGAAACAGTAGAGACAGTACCACCCTGGCTGAGCTTTCGGGGTATTGCAAGATCTGAGCGATCTGGGTCTCTGAGACTCTGTAGTTGTACAGCTACTACAGGGACCATGCCCCATGCACAGCCACATCTGCAAGTGCTGGACAACCAGAGACAGGAGCCAAAAGAACCTGGCAACAGGAGTAGGGAGACCTCAGATTCCTTCTGTAGCTCTGCCATAAACTCTGTAACTGCCAGTCAGGTAACTTTACCATTAAAGAGCTTAGCTTTCTCAATCAGTAAAATGAAGATGCTCATGTAGAAGATCCCTAAGATTATTCCCAGCATTAAGACGTTTTACTGAAAACTCTCCAATGTTAATGAAACATCCTTTCCAATCTGGCTCCACCTAACCCTTCTTATCTTTTATACCCACTCCTCCCCTATCTGAACCAAGGTGGACTATTTCTTTTCTTCCGAACAAGATTTGCACCTTGCTATCCAACTCCCTCCTGGAAACTGTGGGGGCCATATTTTGGGATATGTCTTTTTATACTTAATTAAGCCCTACCCAAACTTCAAAGGATCCCTGGTGGCACAATGGTTAAGGACTTGACTGCTAACCAATAGTTCTGTGATTCAAACCCACCAGGCACTCTTCGGGGGGAAAAAAAAAAAAACCTGGTGAACTGCTCCCGTAAAGATTACAGAGTTAGAAACCCTATGGGGCAGCTCTACTCTGTCCTACAGGGTTGTTATGAGTCAGAACCAACTGGATGGCACACAATACCCAACCTGCAAGTTTTAGCTCAAATTCTGCCCTTATGTATCAGGCACTGTGCCAGTCTCTTCCAATAACCTTGGAAAGGATCATGAAAGGGCAATAAAAGGAGAGGAGGTAGGGCAGGGTAAGTTAGTAATAGTCTTGCTAAGACCTAAATAGGTAATGGCCAGACTGACAGGAAGGGGAGTCTAAGGGGGAGTCCCAGCACATGAAGAACACTCACAAAGCCCTGTATAGGACACAGCTTAGCCCTGTGTTGAAGCGCACAGCACAGTGGGTGAGAATATGAATCTAGAGCCTGATGGCCTCATTCATCACTTATTAGCTTGGGCAAGTTCCATAACCTTCTGCACTGCAGCTTCTCCATTTGTAATTTGGGGACTGGGGATAATAATAGTACCTACCATCTGGTGTTGTTAAGAGGGTTCAGTTGGTCGACATTTGTAACACATTTAGAATAGTGCTTGGCACACAATAAGTGCTATATGTGTGTTTGTTAAATATGTGAGTCTGTTTATTTAAGGCCAGTAAGGCTAAATCGGGAGGAAGGTGGTGAGAGATGAATCTGGACTGGTTACATAAGAACAGATAACTCAGGACCACATAAAAAAATCCAGTGGTTGAGTGGATTCCAATGCATAGTGACCCTATATGAGTCAGACCATATAGATACTAAGAATTCTGAACTTTAGCTTACTGGCTATAGTGACATGAGTTCCTTTATGTGGCCTTTTGCCTTGGTTCTTTGGAAAAACAGCTTGACAGGCTTTTCCCCTAAGTCCTGAGGAGTTAACTTTCCCCTTATTTTCTATCCCAAAAGGTTTGTTACAGGTAGACTGACATTTCCTGGGTAAATCGAAAACTTGGTTTTGATACTTTTTATACTGTCCTGGGCTATAGCCTGCCTTATGATTGGTATGCACCTTATAGGGATTGGCCAACAGATAAGGTAAGTGAAGTGACTATAACCAACTATGCAAATGAAGTGTCTGTGGCCTACTGGGAGTGTATTGGTCAGTATGTATTCTGCAGGGAGGGGCTATACTTTGAAATTAACAAGGAGCTGTGCATATAAGCAGCCAACCTCACAAAGGTATTTCAGACAGAAAGTGGAAAGAGAAGCAGCCCGATGAAAGAAGAGAAGCAGCAGAAAGAGAGGAGGCAAACAACCTCCTAAAAGAACTGTTAACACCAGTTGAGGGCTATAACATGGACAATAGTCAAAGGCCCAAAAGGGGCCCTGTGGCAGAGTCAGTGGTGATAGACGGCAAGACTAACAAGAGCCCAGGGGCTTAAGAAGAGAACTACTTGACCAAGATGAGCTGAGAGAACTGTTCTGTACTGCAGAAGGGAAGGACATGATCTGTTCTTCAGGAGACCCTCTCAGACTTTGCCTGCGTGCTTCCTCATACTGAGTTATGGCTTGTTGATTCTGACCCTAAGTTGTTCCCTGTTGCTTCCTTAATAAACTGCTTAAATGTAAGAATAGTCATGAGTTCTATGTGACCAATGGTAATGGATTATTGGACCCAGAAGAGCAGCAGATCGCCACAGGAGAGACAGCTGGTGTCAAAATTGGTAAAGTTTGGAAAGTGGAGGTATGTCTGACATCTGCCCTATAGGGATCCAAAACCAAACCAAACTCACTCTTGTCAAGTTGGATCCGACTCATAGCGACCCCTCCTTGGGTTCCTGAGGCAGTATCACTATAGAAGTAGATTGCCCAATCTTCCTTTCAAGGAGTGGCTGGTGGTTTTGACCCTCTAGCCTTCTGGTTAGCAGTCAAATGCCTTAGGTACTATGCTACCAGAGCTCACTTATAGCCTTGGGCTAATCTTGATTTCACATTATCCTGCCCTAAAGTTACACAGATTCTGAGGATACTACTACTATACCACTCAAATTTCATACTAGTAATAGAGACATGGATCTCCTGCAAGGCATATACCTGACCATCCCTGACCTCAAGAATTCTTTCGTCATATATCTTGTAGTATTTATCTCTCCTACCTCTTGGAGCTCTGGTAGCATAGTGCCTAAAGCACTTGACTGCTAACCAGAAGGCTGGCGGTTCAAACCCACCAGTCACTCCTGGAAGGAATATAGGGCAATCTACTTCCGTAGTGATACTGCCTTGGAAACCCAAGGAGGGGTCACTGAGTCGGGTCCGACTGACAGCACATACCAACAACAACACCACCACCTCTTAGGGACATCTTTAAGGAGCACTGGTGACACTGTGGTTAAGACACCGGGCTGCTAACCAAAAGGTCTGCAGTTCGAACCCACCAGCTCTCCACAGGAGAAAGATGAGGCAGTCTGCTTCCACAAAGATTTACAGCCATGGAAACTCTACAGGGGTTGCTATGAGTCAGAATCAACTTGATGACAGTGGGTTTGGTTTTAGATTTAGGGTACATCTTTAGCTAATGACTCTTCTTGATGAATACATTCTGTCTTACCAAGACTAAATCATCAACCATATAAACATGCTTATTCAATAGTGGTTATCCTTGAGTGGAAGGTAGGGAAAGGTAGTGATGAAAGGGGACCCAAAGGAAGATTTTCAGGTATTTGTAATGTTCTGTTTCTTAGCCTAGGTGCTACAAACATTCATTCGCTTGTAGAAGTAAGATCTATACCTTTTCCTGTATTTCATCCTTCAATAAAGAGGATACATTATAAGCTTTATGAAATTAACAGTAAGTTAACTCAAGTGAAGGGGAAAAAAATAATTCCTACATCATTTATGTTGTTATAACAAAATAAAAAAGCTTAGCCCCTATTGGTGATAAAAATAATTTTTAAGAAAATATATTGAATAAATGAATGAAATATAACTTATATTTAGTCTGGGATGAATAATAAATTTTAAAAGTACACAAGAGAATTCACAAAATATTAGGGAAAGTGGTAATCTTGACAAATGTCAGAGGCAGTATATAGTATAGTATCATTAAGAGGTCAAGGTAACAAGTAACTGGAAGTCAGATAAACCTAGGTTCTAACACTTGCTAAATATGTGGACTTGGTTAAGTCTCCTCTAATGATAACAGTAACCAATAATCATTGAGCCCTTATAACAGGTCACACATCAGGTCCTGGGTTAAGCAGCACTTTATTAACATTATTTCATAGATTGTTGTAAAGAGTCACAAAGATGGATACTACTATAATTTATATTTCAAAGCTAAATAAAGAAGATCTCGAAGCAAAAAGTACCTATTTAACATCAACGGATCATTCCCACTTACATGAAATATCTAGAATACACAAATGCATGGAGACTAAAGTTTATTAGTGGTTACCACGGACAGGTGTGGGAGGAAGGTAAAGTTATGGCTTAAGGGGCACTGAGTTTCTGTTACAGGTGAGAAAATATCTGAAAATCGATGGGGGGATGGGTCCACAATATGGTGAACATACCTAATGTCACTGAATTGTATACACAAAAATGGTTGAAATGGGAAGTGTTTTGTCATATACTTTTAATACAATCATCCCTGCTCCCCAAAAATAAGCAATAAAATGCTTGTCCAAGGTTAGGAAGCTAATAAATGGTGGAGCCAGAAATAACTGCTGACCAGATAAGACTCCAGAGCTCCAACAAGCCTCCACATCTCACTAAATCAACCAAGAAAAATCTAATTCCAAAAGTTTATTTGTTACTGCTCAGCACTGCCTCCCTGAATTTCCTCACCTATGAAAGGTGCATTAATTCTTAGAACTGGTACAAGAACCAAAAGAGATCATCATAAGTGCTTCCCACAATGCCTGGAACACAGCAATCATTCAAAACTTTTAAACTGCCACTTAAAGGAAGAAACCTGCAAAAGGCCAATACTTTCAAAAACAAATGATCCCCTGAAGTGTGAAAATTCAAATCCAGGAAACTCACCAAGCATGGCCAAGGTGTGCATGGTCATATACAGTAGGTCCACAGCTATACCTGGGAACAAAGTTAAAATCCATCATGTGAAAAAGAAAGAACACTACATTCCCATTTTTTATTATCATATAATCTCCCTTTTTCTTTCTTTTCCCTTTTTCTTTTAAGGGGATCACTTTTGGGGAATGTGGGCCAGGGCTCTACTGCTTTCACGAATCTCCAAATTCGTAACCAAACCTATAAATTCACAGTGAGCATATTCTAATGCCTTTAATGGAGTCCGCCAGTGTATTTTATAAATGAATCTAAGAACTCAACCCCGTTTTCAACAGCTGAAAGTCTAAGCCACCCGAAAATGTTCAATTCACAGGTCTTTCCTCACTCCGGTTTCCTCATCACACCAACGCGTCCACCCAAGAGCTGTCCCAAACCCCCCGAGGGTGTCAAAACGCTACCAGGATGCAGCTTCCGCGTTGGCCAAGATTAAAGGGTCTTTCCTTCTGGTGAGACTATTGTAGACCTTGACGCCCGTGTCATGGCCCGTAGGTTGCAGCCAACCTCCTTCGCGTCCCGCCGACATAGGTCGGCCCAAGGGCCGCCCCTGCTCTTCCGGCCCGAAGCCAAGCGCAGCCGGGAAGAGCCGAGGGCAGAGGCAGCTGAGCGGCAGCCAGAAATTGGTGGGCGGCAGGCGGGCGGCCCGCGTCCACAGCATTTTCCCCCAGCGACGAGACAGCCAGAATGACATGCCATCAGGGCCATAAGCACCGCCCCGAAGCACAGACACCCCTCTTCGCCTAGCAAAGAACCCGCCCCAGAGACCACACCCCCTAGAGGTTACGCCCCGCTCCCGCCCACTCCCGGAAGAGACAACAGGAAGCGAAGTTCTGAGTCTGAATGTTTTTGAACCTCCCTCAGGTCTGGGCTAGCTTTCCCCACGCCTAGGAGGGCGGGCACAGGCCGGCGGGGGAAATAAAGGGCTGGCAGAGGCAGTAGGCGGCGCGGGAGGCAGAAAACCGCGGGAGGAACGGTGGCACTGGCGCCACGGCTTCCCGGTATCCAGAGACTACAGGAAGAGGCGGGATTCGCGGCAGGAGCCGCGCTTCCCTCTCCATAGGAAGGACTTTCTCCTAATAAGCGCAAGTCGTTGCTGGGCGTCTGTTGGACTCTGGAATCCAGTTCCCCTCTCTGTTTGGAGGGGGAGCCGAGCGGCTCTTGCAAGGTTGGCATTCCTCGTGTTGTCCCAAACTGTGGGAGATTTTACAGTGCTGAGCACCAGCCGCCTCTCTGTGCCAGCCTGTACAACCTTCTCGTGAAGCATGTTTACGCCTAACACACACACACACACACACACACACACACACACACTTGTCAGGTGGTCTCTGAATGAAAGACCCAAGTTAATGAAACTACCTATTCATCATTTACGTATAGTGGGAAATTGACACTTTTTCAGGTTAAAAGTCTTACCATTCTATCTCTTGAAAATAACAAAATTCTAAATTGCGGTTTAAATGGGCCTTTAGAATAGGCGGTTTCACTTGTAGATACTTGGAAATTATCTCGACAAGCATGCCCCTACGTTCTTCTCCCTCTCTCCATTGGTGTCTTGCTAAAGTGTGTTAAAACAAAAATTTAAAAATCCTCCTTGCTTTTGCAGTCTTCAGAACAAAACAGAGAATCCTGTTTTTTTAGTTTAAGAGTTCTACTGAAAAGCACCTCTTTAAAGTGTTAGAGACCAAAGGTGTCACTTTGAAGACCAAGATGCACCTCCCCCAAGACATGGTATTTCAATTGCCTCATATGCATGTGAAAGCTGGACAATGAGTGAAGACCACAGAAGAATTAGTGCATTAGAATTACGGTGTTGGCGAAGAATGTTGAATATACCACGCAAGGTCGGCCAGAACAAAACAAATCTGTCTTGGAAGAAATACAGCCAGAATGCTCCTGAGAAGTGAGAATGGCCAGACTTACTCTCTCATACTTTGTTCATGTCATCAGGAAAGACCAGTCCCTGGAGAAGGATATCATGCTTAGTAATGTAGAGTCAGCAAAAAAGAGGAAGACTCAATAAGACAGGTTGAGACAGTGACTAGAACAATGAGCTTAAGCATAGCAACCAAGCATGGGGAATGGTGCAGAAGCAGGCAGTGTTTCGTTCTCTTGTACATAGATAGGGTTGACTTGATGGTACCTAACAACAACTTAAAGACAAATGCTAAAGTAAAGACAAGTATATACTTAAGAGTCTGTGATGGTTACTTTTGTGTGTCTACTTGGCTGGGCCTTGTTGAGTGGCTGGGCATCTGGTTGTAGTTATTCCCCATGATGAGAATGGCAACGAGCTCCATGGTGGGATCTACTATAAGCTGCCGAGTAGCTGCCTTTGGTATGTGGTCTGCTTCCTGTATATAAGGAGAAGCCTTGGGAATGGTCTCTAGTCTATGGCACACTTGGCCCCTGCATGTAGCCTTGTCATTGCTCAGCAGTCTGCTTTGCTCTGTCGAATTTGGAACTTACAACGGACTTAAGTTAATGCCTGCCGTGTGGTTTGGTAACATCTGGATTGTCCTTTTTTACTTGTCAACCTTGGAGCTTCTCAGCCTCAGGAGCCAGCAGCTGTCTGAGTGAAGAAACGCCTCTAGCTCCAGTGGGCCGGGAGCAGGAGGCAGAGCTGGACCCCAAGGTTGAGAAGCTTTCACCCAGTCCCTAGAGCCTGGCACTTTGAACTTGGACTTAAAGCCTCCAAATTGTAAGAATAAATTCCTGTTTTTTAAGGCCATCCCTTATTTGTGGTATATTCTTGTCAGAGCGGCACTGGGTAACCAGAACAGAATTCAAACCCAAACCCATTGCTGTCCAGTTGCTTTCTGACTTATAGCTCCCTAGGACAGAGTAGAACTGTCCCTTAGGGTTTCCAAGGCTGAAATCTTTAGAGAAGCCGACTGCATCTTTGTCCTGTGGAGTGGCTGGTGGGTTCAAACTGCCAACCGTTGGATTAGCAGCTGAATGCTTAAACCACTCTGCCACCAGGGCTCCTTTAGTACTTACCCCTCCCCCAAAAAAATTATTTTCAAGATCCCTAGAGCCCAACTTTGGAATTGTTTCAAATTATATTCTAATGTAAACTGTAGTCTACTGTTAAATGCTAGGTGCTAGAAAATTTGTTTTTCAGAATTTAAAGACCCCTACATTAATGCTGACTACCAGCGTTCCCTGACTATTCTGAATTCTATTCCCATGTCATCATTTCTGCACTGCCTGAGCAGTACTAATTGTTATTTTATAATTTTCTCTTGCTTTTAGTACAATGTGCATGTTTTTCTCCCTGATAGAATATTTTAGATTAGGAATTCTTATTTTGAATTCCCCCACTGTACCCAGCACTAAAATCAGAAAAAGAATTATTAGATGTTGTTGAATTAATCTCTCATAGAATGCATTTCTTCCACAGGTGGGAGAGAATATGGTCAGTCCAGTATCTGACAGGGAAAGCTCTCATCCAGATACTAGATTTGCCACTAAAAAATGGACAAAAGCTTGACTGCAATCTGTGAGAACATGAAGAATGCAAGCAAAGAGCTAGAATAGATAATTTGAAAACAGATTTAGTAACACTGAACACCAAATCCTGCACATAAATCTGGATAGTTGGCATATTTGAATTGGCCACAGAAAATCATGACTTTTAAATTAACAATGGCATCTTTTGTCTTCAGTAATCAGTGTTCAGCACTTGACAGGCAGCAATTCTATCCTTCCTTAAGGGCTTTTCATAATATTCAAAACAATGATAAATTTAACACATTATTTAATGAAGGTTAGAAATTATTCATTTTTTATGTGGTAAAGTAAAAGTGGTGGGAAAGATTTATTAGCATATATGACCAAAAAAGAGAATCTTGTTCATTTGAAGTAATCCACTTCCCAATCTAAGATAAACTAAGGAAGTGCATGAAAATTTGATGCTGCTGTTAAATTTCTGTGCAGTCACTTTCCATTCATGGCAATCCTGTGTGTGCAGAGTAGAACTAACTGTTCCATAGGCTTTCAAGGCTGTGACCTTTCACAAACTGATTTCCAGGCCTTCTCCTGAGGTGCTTCTGGGTGGGTTTCAACTGACAACCTTCAGTTAGCAGTTGAGCACTTAACCATTTGCACCACCCAAGGACTCTGTGTACAGCAATTAATGATTCCAAAATATCATGAATACCATGTATTAGTCTTTAACTAAACAACAAAAATGTAGTTGTCATTGTTACTTTTTTTTTTTCAAAGCAAAAATTTGTAAACCCAACATAGAGTAGGTATGGCAATATATTGTTAGGGCATTAAAGTTGAGGTGAATGAGTTGGCATGTACTTTTGTATTATAGTTTCATCTCTTATATTTTATTCCCATAGGTTTGAAGCATCTCCAGTTAAACTAGAAATATAATTTTAGAAGTTTTGATATTTAGCTTTGCAAAACATTCCAAAGAGCAAAAGGAAAACAACCAAGTTTCTGTAATGTATCTTCAAAATTAAGCACTTTTCCTAAGTGGCATATTTAAAAATGCATGATCATAGTTAATCATGTTTTACTTATTGGTCTTCCAAACTTATTTAGAAAACTGTGAAGTCATCGACATACATTTGTTATTAAGAACTTGGTAAAGCCAAAAAATAAAATATGTTCTGGTTTTTTAGCCCAAGGAGCAGATAACATGTTTTCTTGAATGTAAATTCCTTATCCAACACTGGTATCCCAAGTCTGTAGAACAGTAGTAGGTAGAGGGTAGGCATTCAACTAAAATATTTCTTGTTGAATGAATGTTGTTGTTATGTGCCATCAAATCAGACTAACTCATAGTGACCCCTCCTTGGGTTTCCGAGGCCCACCCTTCCTTCCAAGGAGTGGCTGGTGGGTTTGAACCACTAGTCTTCTGGTGACCAGTCAAGTGCCATAGGCACTATGCTACTAGAGCTCCTTGTTAGATGAGTAAGATACCTTTTGATTTGTTCTCGTAGTCCACGAACATGTGAGGAATTAAATTATTCAGATAGTATAATGATTTTTAAAAAAGATAACTAGGACAAAGTACAGTTTGATTATCTTTTTGTTCTCGTAGCCCACGAACATGTGAGGAATTAAATTATTCAGATAGTATAATGAATTTTAAAAAAGATAACTAGGACAAAGTACAGTTTGATTATCTTTTGAAGAAGTAAATTATTCTAACCTTTATTCTTGCGTTTAGAAAAACACTACTCATTCTAGAGACAATGAGTCTGAGAATTAAGGAATGTCTCTTGTCATTGTACTTTTAAATTACTTGCATGCTTTTTGAGAAAAGGGCATAATTTTTTATTCACCCTTAAACCCCTCTGCACTCTCTTATCTCTGTTTCCACATAATGTCATAGTTTTATAATCTTTTGTGCAGAGTAGTGGCCAATAAATGTTTATGAAATTTCTTCTTTTGCTTTTAATAGGCCAAGACTAGAAGTGTAAATCTATAAGGAAACTAACAACCATTTTCCCAAGTATCAATCAAAGTGAATTTTCTATTTAAGTGGGGATTTCAAAGTATAAATAATCCTTATAATTTATCACTGTAGCAACATTCCAACGTGAACAATTTATTTCAAAATTCAAAACTGCTTAATTTAGTCTTATTTGCTGTACTGACATCTATATTATAAAATACCCTAGAGATCACTGGAATGAACAGCACAGTGGTTAATAATCTATTTTATAAATTTATAATTAGTCCAGCATTTTACTCAATTACATATAATACTTTTAAAAAATCCCCAATGGTCTTCAATGCCAGAACGTTGTTTTGTCAAATATTACAAATCTTAACACAAGAATGAATACCCATTTAAAGTGAATTTAATTATTCTGTTATGGCTAAAGTGGTGTATCCTGTATTGCAACCAGATAAAGCGAGAGATACAAGCTGAAACCGACAATGTCCAAGTTAAAAAGAGGGTAAGAAAAATGGATTACCGCCCTGACATTGACTTGACACAGATATTACAAGATATTCTACCAGAGGTAGAACTCACAAAACAGTATGTAGAATTTATCATTGGCGGGCTCTCCTAAAATTTTAAAATAAAATCTGGTGAGAAGGGGTAAAGAACTGACAAGGCATCTCTTTCCATATATATTCCATTTATAATGAATAAAAGAGCATACAAATACCAAAACGGAGGAGAGTTTAAACTAGAATCAAACCGGGAAACAGCCACGAAAAGTAAGTGCAGCTCCAGAGCGACGACGCAGAGGAAACCCGGGAGGTGCGGAAAGGTACAGACCCACGGGGCCTCCTTCCGCAATCGCAACTCTGGGGGACTAGTGCAAACTCAAACCCAAACCGCAGCGGTTGGAAAGAAACAGAAACAAAGGCAGGAGTTCCTGGCTGCAGAGGGAGAGGCGGGCGCCAAGAGATGGGCGGGGCCTGCACAACCGGAAAAGGCGGGGCCCGACGCGCGCTCCTGGCCCTGTTGTCTAGGCAACGGGTTTGCTAAGCGCTGGAGCTTTTCAGAAAGCCCTAAATCCGGGAGTTTAGGGTGGGGAGAGAAGCTATGGGGGGAGGGGAGCGAGACAAGGAGAGGATAAGGCGAGAACTCGGAAAGCCAAGGGGCCCCAGGACTCTGATGGACTGGATGTTTGCTCGCCTCGTTTTTGGTGGTTTTTTTGAACTGGGTGAAGCGGATTCCATGGCATAGAAGGGGAAGGATGTTAGGTGTCTGGAGACCAGCTTGGAAAGAAATGGATAATTCAGGGAGAAATAGGGGAAGGAATCGCCCTAGGCTTGCCCGCTCTCTGCGGAGGCTCTGGGCACGGGGAACAGCTTCACTTTCAGGGCCCTTTGTCTCCAAACCGAAACTGAACTCCGGGAAGAGACACAAAGGGAGGGCGGTGACTAACGGCGCAGGCGCAGGAGCTGTCAAGGCTGCTGGGAGTGGTGGTCCAGCCATGGAAGGGTAGGTATACTCCCGCGCGGGCCAGCGGCCTCCCCCTTTTAATTCTTGAGGTAGAAATGCGCATGCACCACCACTTCCGCTCTTCTTTCGACCCGCCCGCCCTCTCTCTCTCTCTCTCTCTCTCTAGCTCTCTCGCAATCCCCGTACCTCTGCCCTCGGGAGGACGTGGTTTTCTAGTAGTAAGAGCCAGAGAGGAATTATCCCGGTTCATCCCGCCTCCTCTTCATTCTGATTGGGCAGCAGAGGTAAGCCGGCAAATGGATTGGCTCTTGCGGTTGCCAGCTCTGTTTCCCTGCTGTACTTATACACCATTGCGGGGGCGGGGGACGGGGAGAATGAGGGGGCCGCGTAGGTTGTAGCGGCTTGTGAATCCAATAGTCTCAGAGGCGGCGGGTTCTGCCACCCGTCCGGTTTTATCTGGGTTTAGAGTGGGAGAAGCAGCCACTGTAATGTCTCCGGGAGGGTGTTCAGCGTTGTCGAAAAGGCTTCGCCATGAAGTGTGAAACTCCTAGTAAAGTTTGCGCCTTACCCACCCTATCCCACTTGCCCCAGGCGTCTTAGGTGCTGGCCACCCTCCGACCCCTTACCCACCCAGCGAAAATGACAGAATCAAACTCCTGACCCGGTCGCTGGCTAGGGTCAGGCAACCTCGGCAACCCCAACGCTTTCGTACCCTTAGGATGGTGAGGGGCGTGAATGCAGGGGAGAAGGCGGAGTCTCCGCCGGAGTCCCGCGAGGGGGAGGGGAGGGGAGCAGAGATGGGAGGGGGTGAAGGAGGGAAGGGAGCTCTGGACGCATGCGTAGTGCGTGGCGGGGCTGAATGTTTCCCAAGTGTTTGAAACTGGTATTTGGGTTTTCCACGTTGGATAAGTACCGCGCATAGAACGGCGGGGAGGTCGCGCCCCTTCTCCTCTTTTTCTCTTTACTGACTCGGAACCGGAGCCGGCACTGGCCGCAGGCACACGCACGGCCCCAAAGAAGGCAACTCGGCTGCGGCTGCTACTCGGGCTCTCTTTCTCCTCCCCTCTGGGTGTGTGTGCGCGCTTCGTACGCTCTGCTCCCCCCGCTCCCCTCCTCCCCCCTCCCGCTGTCTGGGAGGGGGGACCTGTGCGGTCGTTTTAATTCCTCCCCGCCTCCCGGCTTCTCTTCCTACCCAGCCGACTCTCCGCTGGTTTGTACAGCCCCTCGGCGCGAGTTACCGGAGCGACCGGCGATCTCCGCCGCGAAACAGGCTGTCGGGGGGAGGTGTCTCTTTCGTTCTCAGCTTCGCTGAAGGAAGGGGCGAGCAGAGCAGTCACAGCAAATGTAGCTTTCTTGGGGGCTTGAGAGCCGGAGCCGGTGGGGGGGGAGGGGGGAAACCTGGGGAGTGCGAGAGAAAGAGCTTTGCATTTTGCAGTGCTATTTTTTTGAGGGGGGGCGGGGGGTGAGGAAGCGGAAAGCGTGCAGAGTCGCCGGGGACCTCTCGGGTGAACCATGTTGAGTCCTGCAAACGGGGAGCAAATTCACCTGGTGAACTATGTGGAGGATTATTTGGACTCCATCGAGTCTTTGCCTTTCGATCTGCAGAGAAACGTCTCGTTGATGAGGGAAATAGACGCAAAATATCAAGGTAAGGGCCCGAGATGATGGATGTGGCGGCTGGTTAGATCCTCTGTCTTTTATTCCTGGCTAATCTGTGGGGTGTATGTGTGTGTGTGTGTAAATGTGTAAAGCTCGTGTCTCCTTTCTGCTCTCTTACCCTCCTCTCACTCGTCAGGAAGGGTAGTTTTATTTTCATTGGGAGCTGGCAAAGGCAGAGGGAGCAAGTATGTTATTGAACTGGAGAAAGGAGCACAGGGGGATCTGCAGCGGTAGCTCTTGTCATGGGGTGGAACAAAAGGTCTTCAGCTTCTTTTATTCACTAAGGTCCTTCTTTGTAAAACATGGGACAAGAAAGGAGGAGGGGGGAAGAAAGGTCTTAATTTAAAGCTGTGCTACAAAAGCAGCTCTTTGTAGTGAAGTGATGAGGTGGTGGTGTGTTGCAGAGGGTGGGGGGGAGGGGAAAGCAGGGGGTTTAATCTGTGTCTTTTAGAACGGGGTGGCAAAGGGGGAAGTGCAGGGTGGACACAGATTACAGCACAACATTGAGGCATGTACAGTGTTCATTATAGCTGTAGGAGCAGCGAAGACTGTGGCTGATAGTAGAAGCTGTTAGAGGAGAGGTGGATGCTAGCTAGCAAGGTTGTTTCATCTGAACCCGGACTACGTCGGTCTGGAGAAATGCCTCTTCTCTGGTCCCTTCCTCTCCATCCTCTAAAGCCGCTGACCCACCCTCGGTCTTTAAATCCGAATGTTACATAAAGTGTAGAGGATTATACTGTTCGATGTAGTCTCTGTTCTCCCCCCAGCTCCCTTCTGGCCCTTCTTTACTGCTGGACACTTAGTAGCCCGATGTGCAAAGGAGAGACGCTACTGGGTGTAGTTTGCTGAGGATGAGGGCTTTATTCAGTGTGTTTGCATTGGGGGAAGGGTGGGGGGGCAGTGAAGGCGAGGAAATTGCCGATCCGTGTTTTGCTCTGGGGGAAGCGGGGAAAAGATTGTTGGAATGAAGGAATATGGCAGGTGAGAGAACCTGTGGGTCGTTCTCTGCAGACCTGCCGGCGAAGAGAGTGTCAAAGATGAGGTTGAGGGTTAATGTCCGCTGGGAATTGTGAGCTGTTTGGGGAAACTTTTCTCCGATGTCAGCCGAAACATTAAGGGGTTTTGAACGTGGATGATCGTTCAGAGTTTACTAATGTTTACAGGGCTGCGCAGCAGGGAAACGGAAAAGAGGGGCGGAGGTGGGGAAGAAGAGGTGGAAACCGATTGCTCGCACCAAAGTACTGAGATCCCTCTTGCGTGGAAGGCGCCCTTGCGCGCTCTGCCGGAGAGGCGGTTTCGCAGCGTTTTTTATAAGGGAATCATTAGCATATTGCGGAACGTCTCCGCCTCGGCCTCCTTGTGATTGGTCCTGATGGTCCCCATGGAATGTCCTTACACTTTACTGCTGAACGATTGGTCTCGAAACCTTAGGAGGGTGAGCCGAGGGCAGTACTAGCACCGGTCTCAGTTTCCGCTGCTTTTTCTCTTTGGGAGAGGGGCGGAGAGAGGACAGGAGGAAGCGGCCGAGAAGGGAGGTCGAGTTGATTTGAATGTGTTCTGTTCGGCCGGCCTCCAGCCTCGGATTGGCACTTACTGCTCTTGGGGAGGGCCGTGCTTTCGGGCCCTGGGTTGTCATTGGAGCCTTGCCCAGACCAGGGCCGGTACCGAAGCCCCCGCCCTCCCGTCTTTCGATTCCCATAGGCAGCAGCTCCCGGGGCGGGGCGCATTGCCCCGCCTGGCTCTCTCCCCATTGGCTGGGTGGCGCCAGGCCCGGCTCCGCCTTGGTTCTTCCTCAGGGCTGGAGAGTCCCGGCCACTTCCGTTCGCGGAACAATGCGGCTGACCAGACTGGCATTCTGGAGACCAGCGAGGTTCGCTCCCGGGATTGTTGATGCTGAGGCTTAAGATTGAGGGGGCCGGCGCTTTCCGAGCCTCCGTGCCCCACCGGGATGTGCCAGCAAGTTGTTCCATCCTGCCTATCTTCTGACAGTGGGTTCGGCCGCACGGGGATGAGAGCTCCTCTTAGCTGGGCTGCGCAGGTGGAGCCTGACGCCTCCCGGTGGCGGCGCTCTTTGTCAGGCTCGGGCGTCTTCCGCTTCGGGGAAATGTGAGTGACCCCCCAAGGGAGACTCGGGGTGGGAGACAGAGAGCAGCAGTGTGGACAACAGTCTGTGAGGCCCTGATCTTAGGGCCTTCGAATATTTTCTAGTGTATCCTACCTGCTGCCACCTTGAAATGAGAGAAACCAGGGACTAGTATCATCTGAGATTGATCTGAGTCTCAGAGCCCCTAACACGAGTTTTGTAGAACTCATTAATTAAAAAGGAGTGGCATATGGTTGCCATGAGTCGCAGTCGACTCGCCGGCGTTGGGTTTGGTTTTTGAGGATCAGGGAAGATTCTAATAGTTTTACAATTTAGTTTTTTATAGTCTTTATGCACGTATTTATGGAATTAGTCTTTTCCTGACACTATTTATAAGTTGTTGCAGGAAATATTCAAAATGACAAAAACTTTTTTTTTCCCTAACATTCACGTCAGTATACACTATGAAAGCACTTTATTATTCTTTTCACTATTATGACGAATTGTATCTTGCTACCTCAGAACCAAAATTTTCTTCTGTTAAGTTAGTATGCTGATGTATTTAAAAGGCTTGGGTAGAGAAAATCCCAATTCCCTCACCATCCTGTACTCTGGTATATATACTTAAGGCAGTGCAATTGAGAGTAAACTTTAAAGCTTAAACATATCCAGAGAGCATAGATAAGGTGTTCCTCGAGAAAATATAATTCATTTGGTTGTGACTGTAAATGTTCAGGATGCCCTGGGAAATTTTTTATTTTTAAAGAACTGTGTTGCTAGTCAAACTGGGTTAGTCATTTGCGTAGACATGTTATGTGCTCTCAAGTCGATTCTGACACATTGTGACCCCATGTGACAGTGTACAACTGCTCCTATAGAGTTTTGTAGGCTATAGTCTCTACTGGTCCATGAAACTGTTGGCTGAGTTGGAACCACCCACCTTTTAGTTAGCAGCAGACCTCTTAACCATTGTACCACTTGGATTCCTTACTTAGTGTTTATCACTTGGCAATTAAACCGTTAAGAATGAATTGTAATTTGTTGGTCAGTTGTAAATTGTGATTGAAGTTGCTTGCATTATTTTTCAAGTATTAGAATGAAAATAGCTGCTCTCTCCCCACAGGAAATACTGCTTTCATAAAGAATTCAGTGCCATCCTATGTAAAATTGCAATACATTTATAATAATTGGATAGATTAAATTATATTTTGCTGCAGTCACATTTAATCCTTAGGATAATTCTGTGATACCATTGCATTCTTAGGTAATGTTGGTATGAATCATCTGTAGAAAAGGCTCACCAGCAGTTTGTCTGAAGTTGAGCTGATTGATGGCGCTGAAGAAGCAGAGTGTCACTAGCAGGATGCACTCAGAGATACCTTTCCTGTTTAACACTGATATTATTGTTTCTGTTTATAGATGTCTGTATTTTGGTGGTTTTGTTGATTTGCTTGGAGCATCTGAAATATATGCCATTATATACGTACAGAACTACTTTTTGGGGGGTAATTTTGTGAGGAGATGTTTGTTTCTTCCCCAAAAGTAAGGCTTCACATGCATTTAAGTGTACTTGTGATGTAAAGAAGCTATATATTAAAATTTAAATTATCAATGTGATAAAATCAGTCTCTTTCTGTAAGAAATACTAACATTTAAAATTTTGATTGCTAATGAAACTAAACTATACCATCTGTAACATGTAATTCATTTAAAAATAGTATAAACTCTTAACATCTGTGAAATAGACCTACGATATTTGAGCACAGATATTTATTTGGAGAATTAATTACTGTAAGACGCTGTGGCATTTTTCATTTCTGGTGTCTGGAAGCCTACTTTGCTCCTATAAGAAGTATCTTCAGAACTATCTTCAGCTTGAGAATATAGGAACATAGCCTGGGAAATAGTGTTTGCTATTTAACTAAATATGAATGTTGTATATCTTTACTTGTTTATACTTATAGCTACTTGGAAATAAGATTTAGAAAGGGTGATGGTTACATTTTATTACATACCCCCCACACACACACACACACACACTCCTGCAGCCACATACCTTCCTTATTGGAGAGTATGGTTGCCTTATTTGAAGAGATTGCAAAAGTGTTTCTAGAGAAAAATATGATAGTATTTAGTTTAATGATTACTATTTGGAAAAAATAACTCAAGAAAGTTTGTGTGACTTTTGACTTTTGATTGTGGTATTTTCCTCATTTCTACTAGATCATTTAACAATATTTATATTTTGAGAGAGTGCCTAATGACGTTTTAATATCACATAAGCTATTTTCTAACCTGTTCTAGGTTTAAATGTTTGTTTTTGTAAGGAAATAAAGCTTGGGGTTGGAGGGGGTGGTCGTGGACCACAAATTGTCCATTTGAATTGCTGAGTTTAGGAAAAATTATTCAGTCATATCCTCATCAGCTTGGTTTTTTCCTCTCAGTTGTATATGACATGGTAGTGCAGATTTTCTTTGAGAGTAGTTTATGTCTATAAAGTTCTCAGAGAGCCAACAACAGAACGAAGAGGAGAAGTGCATAAGAGTGTAATCTAAGTTATTGGTAAAACTGAGCACTGCTGTCAGTAGTAATCTAGACCCTAGGCTGCTAACCACATCTTTAAACCACATAGAGCCATATGTAAATTAATATAAATTCTCTACTAAGCCATAAAATGGGAGCTCTGGTGGCGTAGTGCCTAAGGCATTTGACTGTTTACCAGAAGGCTGGAGGTTCAAATCCACCAGCCACTCCTCAGAAGGAAGGTTGGGCAATCTACTTCCGTAATGATACTGCCTCAGAAACCCAAGGAGCGGGTTGCTATGAGTCGCAGTTGACTCAATGGCAGTGAGCTTGGTTTTTAGTTTTGGTTAAGGTTAAAATTACTAGAAGGTGTTTGAAAATGATGGGAATATACACAGTTATTGATCTAATTTTTAAAAAAAAGTTTGGTCCTAAGCATTTTACAGAATTTCAAATTTTCTTTATTTGCCACAGAAGTGTTTGTCACCCATGTTTCTGAACTATACAGAGTATCTTGGGGCACTTTGCTAAATTGGAACTATATTGGCATCTGTATTTCATTCCAGAGATTTTTTTTCGACAGGAAAAAAATAAGTGCTAAGAAGATTTACAGGTTGTAGGATATTTATACTGGAAAACCTTGTATTGATTGTTTCTGTCTCTTGCAATTACTTTTTTTATAGAATAGAGAAATAAAAGGCTTATTTCATCATTATGGATTTTCTCAGTATCTGTAGTATGGGTATAATACTTAACATTTTTTTCTTTTGCAGAAATCCTAAAGGAATTGGATGAATATTATGAGAGATTTAAGCACGAGACTGATGGTACACAGAAGAGGAGAGTTTTACATTGCATTCAAAGAGCCCTGATTCAGAGTCAGGAACTGGGCGATGAAAAGATTCAGATTGTGAGTCAAATGGTAGAGCTAGTTGAGAACCGGACAAGACAAGTGGACAGTCATGTGGAACTATTTGAGGCACATCAAGAGATCAATGACAGCACTGGGAACAGTGGAAAAACCAACCAAGATAAATCAAAGAATGAGACAATCTCTCAAGCAGAAAAGCCCAATAATAAGAGATCCCGACGACAACGAAACAATGAGAATCGAGAGAATGCATCTAATAATCATGATCACGATGACATCACCTCGGGAACACCGAAGGAAAAGAAAGCAAAAACGTCAAAGAAAAAGAAACGCTCTAAGGCCAAAGCGGAGAGGGAAGCATCACCTGCAGACCTTCCGATCGACCCAAATGAACCAACGTACTGTCTCTGCAATCAGGTCTCTTATGGAGAAATGATAGGTTGTGACAACGATGAGTGCCCCATCGAGTGGTTTCATTTCTCGTGTGTGGGACTTAATCATAAACCAAAGGGCAAGTGGTACTGTCCCAAATGTAGAGGGGAAAATGAGAAGACAATGGACAAAGCACTGGAGAAATCCAAAAAAGAGAGGGCTTATAATAGGTAGTTTGTGGACATTCATTTAATAGTGAGGAAAACAAAATAAACCAGTGTATTTATTACATTGCCACCTTTGTTGAGGTGTAACGATTGCAAAATGTATATTTTTAAAGAACGTTAGAAAAGGATCCATTCCTTTTATAGGGGTGGCAGTGATTTTTTTCTGTTTTCATTGGTACACGTGTAACAAGAAAGTGGTCTGTGGATCAACATTTTAGAAATTACAAATACAGGTTTGAGTTAAACACTCAAGTGAGTCTCAGACTAATGTTTTGGTTTTTTTCCTTTGATGACTTGGAGACAACCTAACACATTAAAGTGTGGAAAGAAAAGATTTCATTTAGCTAATATTTTATTTCAATAAAAATGTTACTATGTTATAAAGAATTTTTTTTTTAACAAATTAGCCATGTTGTTAAAAATACAGCCCATAGCAAATTTGTTTCTTGCTGCCATAATGTATATCCATCTAACAATTCAGTAACAAAGGTTTAAAGTTAGAAGATTATTTTTTAAAAAGGTAAATGATTAAATTTTACATGACAAGTATTTTGTATACTGGCCTGTTCCCCAATTGGCCATTTTTAAATGATGGAGTACCTTTTATATTAAACCAAATAAAGTGGTCTAGTCATGGGACTTCAAATCACGCTTTTGCTATCACAAGTTATAGTCTTTAATTTATATATAAGTTGTATAAATGTACATTTCCAAGTAAACTTAACACTTGTATTATAGTGGGAAATGCAGCCAAATTCTATTGTGAAACCAAGGTGCATTTCCTCTGTATGTATGAGAGCTGTATAGATGTGATGTTAAGAAATAAATGAAATTTGGGCAGTTTGTTCCTCTAGCAGTATATTTAATTTTAACATAGTAATTCTATCTTAAAATCTGTACACCAGCAGTTTAGACAAAGCCTTAAGCAAATTCTGTTATTATTGCCCTTAATAATAAAGTAGGAGTTACTTAATTCCCAGCAAATAAATGTCAAAAAGAATATATATTTGGACCAGGGGTTAAAAATTGCAGCCTGCAGGTGATTCAGTGTGATCCACTGCCTGTTTCTGTACTGCCTATGAGCTAAGAATAGTCTTTACATTTTTATATCCTTAAAAGAAGAAGAGGAATACTTCCTGACATACAGGAAAGTAATAGGAAGTTCACATTTTAGTTTCCATAAATAAAGTGTTATTGACACATAGCCATGGTTGTTTGTTTTATATATATTGTCAATGGCTGCTTTTGTACAACTGCAGGGTCAAATAGTTGTGACAGATCATATGACCCACAAAGCCTGAACTATTTTTTGGCTGTTTACAGAAAATGTTTATTGACCCTTATTTAGACTAATATTCAGCACGATAATGTGTTTTTTAAAAAAAGAAAAAAATTGCCCACATTCAAAGAGTCCATGCAGTTACGATTTCTAAGAAATACATGATTCACTTTAACTCTTGAACATGATAAAATTAATGTCTATCCATAATCTGTTTTGCATCTGTGAAGCTATCACAAAGGAAAATTGAGTAACTATAGAATTTAAGGATCTATATGACGTTTTTTTTTATAAGTAACATAATAAATTGTCTTCTGATTATTCACTTTACTTGATTAATAATTATTGAGAGCTTTCTTTGTGCCAGATACAAATTTTCTGATAGCTGGTGTACAATGAATTTCCTTTATAGAGGGCTATGTGGTAGAAATTTGAACTTTTTGCATATTAGTACCTAAAAATAGGCATTTACTTTCCAGCAGAACTCCAGTAGAACATTTAAGAATCTTGATTGAGTGTTTAAATGTGATAATATTTACAAAGATAATGAACAAGGAAAATTAAAAAGTTCACTGTGATAATATGAGAACTAAAATAGTACTTGATAAATATCCAGTAACAATAAATGTAATTTAAATTTTTGCTTATATAAAGTTCTGGTTTTTCACTTCTGTTTTAATTGGAACTATTAATGACATTTAAGCTGTGGGAGTGAAGATCCAATGAACTCAGGTGCTAATACTGGATTTCTTCATATTTATTCAGTTTTGGTATAGACAACTGTAGTGGAGAGAGACAGAATCCAAACTTTGCTGTGTTTGAATTCTTTGACCCTGGGGAATTTAACCTCAAATTGCTTCAATCTTGATCCATAGTTCTTAATTTTTAAAGTATCTGTTTCATATAGAGTGGTTCTGAGAAATAAATGAGATTAAGTAAATAAAAGGACTGGTATGTTATTCAAATGTTGGGTATTTTCCCCCTTACCTTAATGATAGTTCTATTAAGGACAGAGGGCTAGCCACTTTTTCTTCAAAAATGTGGCGCATTAGGTAAACTTTCTTAGATTTAGATTTTTAAACTTTGTTAATTCCAGTGGACAGCTTGAAAAAAAAAAAGATTTAGAATTTATCAAGCACAGATTATTGTTAGATGCAATAAATTCCAGGTAATCCCCAGGTGAGTTTACTGAAAATGGGATTAAATTTTAAAAAATGGATTAGTGAAAAGCAGGCTTATTTTGATGTTCAACTGTATTTGTTGAATAATAACCAAGCTATGGTTCAGATAAAGAATATAAAATGTTTCCTTTAGCATGTAATACTTTGTATTTGAAACTGGCTGTCAGGAAACTTGATTCATACAGTTAATAAGTATTGAGCGTGGTATTCCTGGAGCAGGCAGGGAGAGGGGGATGTATTCCAGGTACTACTGGTAAAGAATAGTAAATTTTTATTTTAGGAAGTTTAGCTATTTAACTTGAATATCCATTTGTATTTCAGGTTCATGTGTTGTTCCAGGTAAAATTTATGAAAACATGAAGGCTTTTATTAGAGAACATTATTTTAAAACTACAGTTTTAAAGACAATGTGCTCTTGCATCATTCTCCCTAAAATAACTGATAAATCTTTGGAGTCACTGACATACTATAGAACAAAATTTTGTGAATATTGTCTTTTTCCCTCTCTGTTTTTTGTTTGTAATCCATTCCACTTGAATCTTAAGGTTCAGGAAGTTGTAGGCAGTTTAGAAAGCATTATAATAGACTTCTGGATTTGTTTTATCTGAAAAAGTTGCTGGTCAGTTAGTACTTTTCTTGAGTCAGCCATGTTCACTCATCACCCTCATTCTAAATTTCTCTAGAGTGCTCAAGAAGACTACAGTTAATCGGGAGGTAGAAGAGCAAATATGTGTCACGTAGCTAAATCAGAAGAACCTCCTGAGGGTTTTTATTATTTATTTTAAATAAGGAACTTTGTTTCAGAATATTATTCCATTTTTTCTCACAAACCAAACACTATTGTGTTTTATACTACTTGTTCCCCTATCCCCTAAAAAAAGAATGAAGGCAAATACATACATAGTTTAAATGGAACCAAGAAAAGCATTAGGTCACTTCTTTTTCCTTAAATATTTTGTATTACCTGACTTTGTTTATTAAGTTGGGATTGCTGTTTGTCCAGTTTAAAGTCCCAACTTGAAGTTGCTGTAAACTATAACAGGTTGTCTTGACTTTATACAATTCAGTGCTTTATTAAACCAGTATTACTATTAAGCAAGAAGATGCATGATGGAATTCATGATACATTTTAATCAAAAATTGATTTGAAAATTATTTTGAAGTTACACATCACTACTGGCATAAAAAAAATGTTGTTAGGTGCTGTTGAGGTGCTTCCGACTCATAGAGACCCTGTGTACAACAACGAAACGCTGCCCAGTCCTGTGAACTATTTATTGCCTACTGTATGCCAGTAACTTTGTATACTTTGTTATCATTACAGCAACCTTGCAAGATGTTTTTATTCCTGACGAGTATGATAAAACAAGAAATGAGGTTTGCACACATCCTGCATTTGGCTGCAAAACCCCATCGTCTTAACCACCATACTGTACCAACATAACCCACCTAATGTGACAGGGCCTGGCATTGTTTGGTAATATTAATTGAATATTTAACATATGCCAGGAGCTGTATCAAGTTTCTTTTGTTGCTCATCAAACTCTGCTTTTTGAATAGCCCTTTGTGGTAGGAATTTATCCCCATTTTATGATTAAGAAGGGCTGAAAAAGGTTTTAGAAACTCATGGTCTCACAGTAGTGGAGCTGGAATAGGAGCCCAGGGCGTTCAGTGCTTGCTGGGTTTTTTTGCCTGAATGAAATGGGACAATGGGATTTACTGTTAAAACCCCATTGCTGTTGAGTTGAATCCAACTTGGCAACCATACAGACAGAATAACTGCCCTATAAGGTTTCCAAGGCAGTAATCTTTACAGCAGATTGCCACATCTTTCTGCTGCTGGGCTGCTAGTGAGTTCAAACTTCTGACCTTTTGGTCAGCTGTTGAACGCTTAACCACAGCAACACAAGAGCTTCTAGATAGTATCTGCAGTAGCCACAGTGTTCCTGCCCAGTGTATTTTACTCGTATGCATCCAATTTTCTTATATAGGTAAACAGGTACACTGTTAGAGCAACTTTCTTATTCTGCCCTGTAATAAATTCCAGGATTGTAGTTTACCCACAAGGTTTTAAGCAGTTTACCAGGGGCAGCGTGCTATACTTGAATTAGCATGAGATTTGAAGTCAAAAGATTTGAATGAAGGGGCTACTTTATCACATAATCCTAAAAAAAAAATCCACATTGCCTGTCAAGTTGATTTCAACACATAGTGACCCTATAGGACAGAGTAGAACTGTCCCATAGGGTTTTCAAAGACTGTAAATATGGATGCATACTGCCACATTTTTCTCCCACAGAACAGCTGATGAGTTTAAACCTCCGACTTTTTGGTTACTAGCCTAGCGCTCTGGTAGCATAGTGGCTAAGACACTTGCCTGCTAACCAGACGGCTGGTGGTTCAAACCCACCAGCCACTCCTCGGAAGGAAGGTTGGGCAATCCTACTTCCGTAGTGATACTGCCTCGGAAACCCAAGGAGGGGTCGCTATGAGTTGGGTTTGACTCGATGGCACATAACAACAACAACAAGCCTAGCGCTTAACCCT